GGATGTCCTCTGTCTCCTCTTGCTCGCCCGCAGATCTCTTGGCTCTGATGCGTGCTGCGCGCTAGACATCCTGAAATTAACTGAACTCTCTCTTTCTCTCTTTCTCCTGTCTCTGCACCCCAACTCCTCCTTCATTTCTTCCTTTATATCATTTTATTGTATTTCATTTTTCATCCTCCTGTGTTTTTGTCCGACATCCTCATCTGTCCTCTTCAAAAAACAAATCCTCTCTTTCTCTCCTCCACAAATCACTGTCTTATCCTGTTATCGATTTCTCTCTCTCTCCATCCTTTTTTCTCCTCGGGTCCTGGTGGCTATGCTACGTCGGGCCTGTGCTCTGTGTGCGTGTGTGTGTACGTGCGTGTGCGTGCTACACTGCTCTGCTATACGTTATCATCTCTGTGTTCGCCTGCTCTGCAGCGGAGGAGACACAGGCCTCGCGGAAATAACCTCAGTGTATGTACCTCTTGCTCTATCTCCATCTACCCTCTCCCCCGCTCGTTTCCTCTGTCCCTCTCTGCCGGTCTGTCTTTCCAAACTGGATCTGCAGCAGATTGTAGTTTTGCTGGTCATTTCGCCCCACATCAGGTGCCATATGGGTAGAGCTGAACAGCAGTGAAACAGTTCGACTCGCCATTCGGTGTCAAAGAAACTGCCCCTGCCCTGGTATTCAGGGCAGGGGCAGTTTCTTTGACACCGAATGGCGAGTCGAACTCCTTTTCATTTTAGCAAAATTTTCAGCACTCTGTGTGGCCGACATTTGTTCTTCAACAGCCATTCAGAGTGTTCACGGGCCATGATTGAGTTTTCAATCAAACACTGAGATGGAACCAAGTGGGTCAGTCGGTTGAATGGAAATTCAAAACCTCTTCTGCTCATTCACCAAATATTCCAGTGTTTCCAGAGTGGCTGCACACTCAAGTGTTCTGAGCAAAGGGTATTCATCTCTTGGACAGAAACTCAGCGATTTTCCCAAATTTCAGATAAATCAAACGTCTATCTAGTTTTCAAAAGCCACCATTTTAAGTGCTGTGCCACACTTTTGTGTTCATGTCTGTAGACACAATATGAAAGTCAGCATCAAGCAGGAATTTTATGCCTTTTTAAAAGAAATCTCTGTGTTGTCTGCATATAGTCTTTTGTGGTAATGGGTTGTGTTCTCCTTCATTGATGCACCTTTAGAAAAAGTCAACCTCTATTACATTAATGCAGTGAACCCCACCCATCTGGCACTCGAGCCTCTTTGATTCAGCTTTGACCTAATTGTCACTGTTCAGATCTACTTTGATCAGGCCTTCTCCTCTGTCTTCCTCTTCTGTCGGCTTTTCTTTGAGCTATCTGAGTCTCTCTTTTTCTTCTTCCTTTTTCTCTCTCGAGTTTGCTCATGTTGAGCTCGCTCTGCGCTCCATTGTTTTCACTCCCTGTGAGAGTTTCACAGGAGTTCAGCTCGTACGCAGCGTCTGTGTGTGCTCGTCTGTGTGTGTCTATTACCTGTGCATTTAAATCCTTTGCATCACTGCAGACCGGGTCAACAGTGTATGATGAAAAGCATGGACTGCCCTGATATGTGACTGTTGGCCAGTACCGGGGATAGGCAGGGTGCCGGCATGTCATTACTCATGCATGACGTGGCAAAGTCTCACTGTGGATGCGAGAGAAAGTGGTGTGCCAATGAGGCAAGGCGTTGCTTTAGTCAAAGCCAGATTTTCAGTAGCATAAAAGGTGGCATGAAAGGCAGAGTGTGATGCTCATGATGTAGCTGCGTTGTGTTCAGCACCTTACATTAAGTTGCTTTCAATTCAAAATTAACAGTATAACTAGGGATGAAACAAAAATGAAAAACTGGATGAAACCTGCCTGATGAGGCGTTAATGGACTAGTGTACTGAGAGCTTGGATGTCTACAAGAATGTGAGTCAACTGCTCTCAAAAGGTATACAATAAGACCACAAAAGAGACTGATAAACTAACTAAAAACCAGGGAAGACTAGTCAAATCTGGCAAGTCGGATCGGTAGTGACTAAATATTGTTATTCTAGCCAAAAAAGTACCATCTCACAAAAACACACTCCAGTGCTGATTGTTCTCAGTCAGAATTTTCAGAACATTCCCTAAAACTCTGCTTTGACAGTCTGACTCTTGGGACATATTCTTGGGGAACAACCTTTTAAATTAAAAGAAAAAAGACAGATATACTCCTGATCATGCTCCTCACCTAATGTGCCGTCTTCAGATTTGGACACAGCTGGACTCTTCCACTCAAAAGTTCTGTTTGGTCTCTGGATTATAGCCAGAAATCTTGCTCTCACAAAGGGTGGAGCTCCTCTACGTCGAGGGTGGGTCAGTTTGACACAGAGTTTGATCCTCTCTGTGAAACTTGAAGATCCATGTTGAAAACAATGAAAGTGGCAGCAGGTAAAGTTTCTGCGATTTATGGCAACTTTTTGATATTAGCTTTGGCCTTTGTAGTGTCCAAATAATGGGGGAAAAGAATATAACTTTGTAAATATCTAATGGTTTTTAATGATATTTATTTATTCTTCAATAAAACATTACTTTACAAAATGCTTTTTTGTCAAACTCATAAATTTAAAATGGAGAAATGAGGCTTTTTGTCAAAATAAACTATTCGAAGTCCGACACAAGTTTTTCTCTGTGTGTGTGTGTGTGTGTGTGTGTGTGTGTGTGTGTGTGTGTGTGTGTGTGTGTGTGTGTGTGAGGGTGTGGGTGGATTAAGGGTGTACACATTTCTGTACTGCCAGCTACTCAGAGAACATGCATGGCTTGTGTACAGACTGCTGTAAGTGGTGACATTCGTCTCAGGGCGGAGAATCCTCCTGTGTTTGTCTTTGTCTGGCCTGCTGCTTGCAGACTGACCTGCTTTATCATCGAGTTAATGTGAGGCTTTGTGGGGGTTCACAGTGTGGGCAGGGTCTTTTTCCTGATCAGAGAAGCCTGACAATGAACCCAGCAGGAAAATCATGTAGAACTGGTCCCAGTATATATGTTGTAGGTCACATTTCAGCTGTGAGTAGATGAGATGAGTAGATGAGCCTTCATGGTGAGCAGGAAGTAAATCACATCACCAGCTCACTTTTGATATTTGTTTATTATTTTGTTTATTCAAACAGACAGTGGACAGTGAAACATTTTGTCTCGTAGTTTTTTTAGTGTAGGATTTTCCTGTTGAGTTCTTGAAGAGCTTTTGCTCTGGCTCAGAGCGCCTAGAATGATGGATTGTCTTATCCGCAGAGTGTCCATATTTGATTTATATTCGATCATACTTAGAAAGTATGCATGTAGTGAGAAAAAAGATCAGTCTTTGAATAAGATGTAACCCTTGCTGCTCTATTGTCAGATTGGCGTAATGTTTTCTTCCCACACCATTTTTGCATCATTCTCATTAATGATGAGGACTAAGGCTCTCCTTACCATGTGTTTCATACCTCTGGCATGACATTTATGTCATCCAGCTAATTAAAATATGCCAGTTTGAAAAGCAAAAGTTACATAAAATCTGTTCTTTTTCATGGCTATAAATACATGGCAAATATACACATTTTTTAAGAAATTCCAAGTAATGTGGAATTTTCAGTTTTGCATTTTGTGTTTTTAATTATAAATCAAACCATAAAAAGACTGTCTGGTATCTCAACCCGAGTTTCATGTAAATGAAATATGGCTGCTGTGGGGAGAAGCGCAATATAGCTCCTCTGTGCATGTGAGGCATGGTTTCTAAAGCTCAACCTCATGCTTGTTCTCTGCCGCGCTACCCTTTTCTCCTCTCCCTGTGAGTTCCCTGTTTATATCTGTGCGTTTCATATCACCATATTTTGGTGAAGAGGCATGGTGTCACATGTTGTTTCATACTTAGACTTAATACTAAGGGATTTCAGGTCCTTTCCTTCAAGTTACATGAATGCTAATGCCGTTAGCTGGGGTCAGATTAGGCTATTCAGAAATCATATTTAGATCTGTATAGGTCACCACACACTACAGCACACAAGCCAAATATTCATATTATCAAATCAAACTGCACCTTCTGAAATCCTGAATTGCCATTTTGTTCTGAACCACCACGCATCTAAATCAAGAGTTGGCATTGGATCATAAAGCACTTATACGCCCAATACCATAATGTTATATACTCAGCAAAAGTCACTGAAGTGACTGGTGTCCTTCTCAGACATGAGGACTCCACTCCAGCAGTCCAAGGCCTTAAATCTCACTTCTTTTTATCTTTCTCTCCCCTACCTTATGATTTCTCTATCTGCCTCTATCTCCCTCTTCTGTATTTTCTTCTACTCTGCCTCCTTTGTCCTCGCAGACCATTACTGACACAAGTCCGATGCGTCGCTCCACGTCCAGCCTAGTTCATGGGCGTACAGGCAGGGGCGTGAGGCTGGACGACTACTCGCTGGAGAGGGTGGTGTCTGAGGAGGGGAGACATGGAGGACGCAGGCACAGGGACAGAAGCCACCGCACCTCGCAGCGCTCCCTGACCAGATACACCGACGCGGACACGGGTGAGTAACTCAGAATGGTTATTTCCTTTGAAATCAGACCAACATCTGCACCAGTGTTCAGTTCACCAAAGAAAGATGAGCCATAAATCTCAGTGTGAGAGCAGTGCATCGTCTGCGTACAGATGGTGTGGCTAAGCTGACTGGTGTTTTGATTGCTGTGGTCAGACTGTCATGTTTAACACCATGAGAAGATCCCTAAAACTGTAACTTTCCATATTTGAGGGCTAGTGTTAAAATTAAATAATGTAAATTGGTTGTACAATTGGCATCACGGACAATCACAAATATAGGGCAAGTTTGTTGTGGCTGTTCATGAGCATTTGACTTATTTGTTGATTTAACTTTGCTTTTATATGAAAAAAAACTGTGGCTTGGAAATAAGTAGACAAAATCATAAGACTTCACAGTTAATTTGGAAAATATGTTATTGTCATTTCATTCAAGCACAGGTTGTGCTTTGGAAGAAAGGAGTTTTCTCATGTCACCAAGTCTCTTTACACAAGGAGAAACTTAAGTCTTGCTAACAGGCTACCATTTGTATTAGTATGTGGCATTTTATGCTAAGCTATACTACATCATAGATGGTTTAGCTGAAAAATAGAAAATTCTACCTCGCATGCTAAACTTTAGCATGTTAGCCATGTTAGCATAAGAAACGTTTGTTTGACCAGTAGACTGAATAAAAAAAAAATACCCATTGGTTTGTGATTTGTGACACTATGAGAAATCAATTATTATTTAAGGCTGTCATTGATGTAACAATATTTGTTAGTAACATTAGCTTGGTTAGCAAGATGTATTCAGAGACTAGGTGCTTATTAATGTTGACATACAAATAATGTATTAGAATATCTACTCAAAAAAATTGTAACATAGACTTCTTGTAATATATATGCTAGTACACATAACCACAACTGCAAAATAAGTGAGTTAAAAATAGGGCTGAACGATTATGGAAAATAATCTAATTGCGATTTTTTGCCCCAATATTGCGATTGCGATGCGATATGCGATTATTTTTTAAGGTCTTTGTCTTCTGTATTATTAAACAAAGACAAGCAATACATCATATAGTATGGCCAATACTATATTACATTAATTTTAAACTGTTCTTTCCTGGAAGACAGACCTCTGTTATGATGCATGAATTGATGACTGACATTTTTATTTAACTTCTTCAATCACAACAGTATATTTGAACATACACAATAGTTTATTTTTAGTTTACAAACATCTGAGCATAAAGTGCTGACAAGGAACCCTGGTGTAAACATTACAATGAAAGTCAGTACAATGTGCAGATTGCAGAAATATACATAAAAAAAATCAGTGGCTTTACCACACTCAGTTTTTCGACATCTGTGAACTACTAGACAGTCATTCAATTAAAAAATAATATTAAATAAATAAAACTAATAAATAAAAAATACACACATCTTACTGATCTCTGCAGTCAGTAACATTACACATAAAGTGCAAACATAATAGCAATTGTATAAACACACACACAAACGGTCTAGTCTTCTGATTAGCGTCTCGGTGGAGTTTAATAAACTCGGCCGTCTGCTTCTTGCTATCTAAAATATAACCAGGCACTGGTGTAAATTCTCGACTGTCTCATACTTCTGTTTAATAAGTTTTCTGTTTGACGTTTAGTCAGCTGTGTGAAAACCAAGGAGGAACCCACCCGGGGGATTAATAAAGTTTTATTTTATCTAATCTAATAACTTTAATCTCAGCCAAACCGATTTACTCACGAACAAACAAAACACTGAAAAAAGCCCAACAATAACATTTTTAGGTTGTCTAAGTGACTTATATATTACGTTTAACCCGAGCAGCGAAACTCCGCGGTGATCTGAAAATGATGTGCCGGGAGTTGTGCCGTTCTCGGCCGCATCAGTAACCCTCGAGCTCCCGGCTAGCTGTCGAGCTGGTGGGTAGCAGACGCCTCTGAAAACGTCGAAGCACTTTTGCAAATATGGGATATCTTGATAAACCAAGCAGATATTTGATGTTTACACAACGACTTTCTTGCCTGAAAATATGTTAAAAGTTTATTTTGTGACCCAGAAAGATTAGTATGAGTAATTTTAAAACTTAGTAGCGGCCGCCATTGCTGGAAACTGGAGTTTGGCTGGGCCGCGCTATGAATTCTGGGATATGGTAGGCCACGAAGGACACACCCGACCCATCCTTCAAATTCGGGGAAAAGGAGGACGCATTTGTCGGCTACATTCGGAGGAGTCTACGAATTTGGACAGCCTTCGGCGCGTCGCTGTGACGTAATCGGTCTACAAATGCGGCCTCAGGAGGATGCAGCCCATGAATTTGGACATGTCCAGAGTATAATCGCAGCCTTTGCGGTTAGAAAATTGCACTTGATCATGTCGCGATATTATCGCAAATGTGATATATCGTTCAGCCCTAGTTAAAAATGCTACAAAAGACACATAAGCAGTCAAAGCTCAGTTCAGCTAAGCTAGCTGCCTATCACTTAGAAGAATACTTTAGGACTCACGGCAACCTTAACATAGTTGTGGTCAAGGGGGAGTAGCTATAGAAATCAAAAGTGGGTTTTTTTTGTACCAGGCTATAAACATGCTTCTTCCTTCTCTAAAGTTAAGGACTGGAAGGTCATAGGAATTGATTTAGATTCAAATGGATATTTTAAAATTAAACATTAGCCTCAAGTTTGATGTTGTTTTCATCTAACTTATTACATTTTTAAGGACCAAAACATGTCCAAAAATTTATTACAACTGTGTGCAATGGATTTGTAATCTTGCTGCCTTTGACTTCAACAAGGGTGACCATGTCTGCAACTACCTGCCATCTTCAAATTAACATTTTTGCATCAGAAAGCTGTTGCCTTCTACATGCACAGAAATTTACATTAACTGCTTACATTCAGAGCCAAACCTCATAAATTTGAAACAGAAATTCAGAAATTCTTCCACAAATAGTGACCTAGTTGCTAGGTCCATTATTGGGCAATGGTTTAATTGCAAATTGACTCAGCAACCTTGCCTTTATAAAGGAATAGAACCGAAATACAATCAGCTGAGTCTCCTATTGCAAAGATCATGTGACAGACGTGTTTTGCACATAATTGCGATCCGTTAACACTGCATTTATGCATTAGATGGTAATGGTTTACAAACCTTCACCAATCAGTGGTTCTAGTTAGTCCTAGAAGGACCATAATTGTTTGGAGACAGGTTGTCTCCCACCATGCAACCTGTATAATCACCTCATGATCGAAAGTGGTCACTGAGCGATTCAGAGTAAAGCCCAATGAACCTCTGGGTGACCAGATGGTGACTGCAACTACTTGCAATTGCTTTCTGACAAAATAGTACCTTGATAGTACCTTTTAAGATTGCAACATATGGACATTTAGAAACTTCTACATATAGTACTGCGTGCAGTGTTGTTTGCAGCCAGGTCAAGAGTAATTCAGCAGCAGTTACTCCATTTACCTAAGTCAACATACATTTACAGATCATCATATTCACAAATATTAGTGCAATTCAAATCTTGGCACAGAGAAGTCCTTGAAAAGAATATTGCACAAAGCAGACAGCCCACTTCATCATTAATTGCGAGTCCAAATTGCATGCTTCAGCTGTAAAACTAATGCAACAACGCTGACAGAGTTAACCTCTAAAACCCTTTTATAATTGAAGAGCTCTCTAATCTAATGGAGAATCCTCTGCTCTGCCACATCGATTCTGGAGTGGAGATGTTCTGCATTTGACTGCACAACTGGAGTGGATTTTCTTCTTGCATGTTTTTGCAGTTTTAAGAACTTTAGCTTTACAGTAAACATGGAAAGTTTATTGTGTTAATCAAGTGGATAAAGACTTCTTGAGAATTAAGAATATCTTTGAGTAGAATTTTTGTTAATATGTTCTCAAGGATAATAAAATTATTGGTTTAAATGTAAACTGAGACGTCTCTTTGCCAGGCCTGGGCACAGACCTCAGCACCACCACACAGTCAGGTGATCTGCCGCCCAAGGAGCGCGAGCGGGACCGTGGCCGGACCAAGGACCGTCGTCACCACCATCACCATCACCATCATCACGGCTCTATGGACAAGGAGCGGTACGGCCACGACCGCCACGACTACTCCCACAGGCATCCCCACGACCGTCACTGGTCCCGGTCACCCAGCGAGGGGCCTGACGGACGAGGTCACAGACAGGTGGGCTCCAAAAGCAAAGATTATTGTCAAGGTTCAGCTGTTTAATTTCTTTATAGAATGTCTCATCGGGAGCATTTTGGATTGTTTGAGATTTTCTCTATTTCTGCATAAGCACGAGACACTTTCTCTTGAGCTTCAGTTCACAGACAGATGGCTTGATCTGTTGATTTTTATTTTGGTGGCATTAATAGGACATCAGAAAAGGCCTAATACATGATCCTGTCAGCACCTGGTTTCACAGATAGGATAAGGTCCTTGTGCTGGAATGCAGTAATGTCGGGATGGCCTTTTACTGCTTAAAAGTTACCCAGTCTTCTTTTGTGAGCTCCCAGCCGATCCCTTTGGCCGACCACTCCTGGGGAGGATAATAGTGGTCCTGAAATTCATTCTTTAAAGACAGTGTGTCTAACTGTGGGTTGATGAAATCCAATATCTTCAGAAATAGTTCTGTAACATTTCCAGCCTAATGAACATCAACAACTCACCCTCTTTTGCCCTGAATGATGTACTTCTGCAAATACTTTGAGATGATCAGTTTAAAAAAATAATTACTGGCTAACAGGTTCAGGTACTATTTATTGACAGCCAAGTAACATTGGGAGAGTCAAAGTAGAATATTTCACATTTGCAGGATCTGCTTTTAGGGCTGATATTAAAAACAAAAACTTTTAATTTCATTTTTGCAGAAATATAGAAAAGAGTACACAAAGTCTCAAGCACCAGTGTAAACATGCAATTATAGTATGGTATGACCTGTTTTTGTCTTAGATCTATATTTTGATGTACTTGGATCTTCTTATTATGATTTGAGGACAGTAGTTAATCATTTCACATATATTGTGACCCTTAATCTCCAGTAAGAGTTCACAAAAGGTTATTTCCACACTTCTATTTATGGATATCAATCTCTCTTTTTTCTGTTATGCTTTTTTTTCTTTGTCACCATTTCTCTGTCCATTTTTCTTCAATGTGACATGTGGCTTCTTGATGTCAATTTTTTGCTTCATCACTATGTTTTTGGATGATTTTTAATGGTGTCTATGTATCCATCTTTCTATCCATCTATCTCTCTCTCTTTCTGTCTATCTATCTCACCTCCGTTCTGCTCTATTCTGGTCTCTGTTGTTATTGTTGTGGTGCGTTTTGATTTTCCTTGTTTACATTTTGCTGTAGGGCAGTAGTTCGGTGAGCGGCAGCCCGGTTCCCTCTACCTCGGGGACCAGCACTCCAAGGAGAGGCCGCCGCCAGTTGCCTCAGACCCCTGCAGTCCCACGCCCACATGTCACCTACTCCCCCGCGGTTCGCAAGCCTGGCTATGGCCCCCCAGGGCCAGGTCGCCTGCGTTCACCCTCTCCACGACACTTCTCCCCTCCAGACCATGACAGAGGCTACCACCACCGACCCCCGTCACGCCACGCCTCTCCCCACCACGGGGGCTCTTCATCCCGGCATGGTTCGCCACGCTCCCCTAGGCACCAGTCCCCACGCTCGCCCCTCCACGGCTCACCCAGGTCGCCTCACCGAAGCCGCTGGAGCGGGCCTCCACCCGGGGACAGCCTGGAGTGTGACGGACCCTTCTACGAGAGAGATTATGAGTATGAGCGTCACCACGAGCCTCCCGCCTACGAGCAGAGCCTCTCCCACGGCAACCCTCACCCACATGGAGGAAATCCTCACCCACACCCACGTTCACCTAGGACTGCCCGCCACGGGCCTCCTCCACCCCCTCAACCGCATCCACGCAGGGTACCCAATGGTTACCATTCATCTTCACCTTCCCCACACCGACGGGGAACACCAGGGGTGCCGCCCCACCCACACCACCGGCCTGCCCATGCCAGAGGGCCCCGCAAGGGCCTGCATGAACCTTATAGTGAGACGGATGAGGATGACTGGTGCTAGCAACCATAAAGAGCTTGGGATATGGCAGGAGAGGAGAAGAAGAACAGCAGTCTCCAGTGCTCTGGCCTTGGATATGTAGACTAAAAGAAAAAACAAACAAAAACAAAAAACAAAACAGAGTGGTAGGAGGGGTTGGATACCCTCAAAACCCTCTACCTTCAGCTCTCAGACTATGAACGAGTGG